TTAAAAGTTCAATGGTTACCTGTATACAGGCTGTCTTTTCTTCTGTAGCTATTAAGATGTCATCCACATATTGCAAGAGTAGATGTTCTGGTCTCGGAGTCACTGTCTTTTTATTTGTCCATATCTCTAGTTCTTTGGCAAGTTGGCTACCGAAGATTGTTGGGCTGTTCTTAAATCCTTGGGGTAGTCATGTCCAGGTTAACTGTACTTTACACCCTGTTTGTGGGTTTTCCCACTCAAAAGGAAACAGTTTACGACTTTCCTGTTCCAGGGGTATGCAAAAGAAAGCATCTTTCAAATCAAGCACTGTAAACCACTGATATTTTTCTTTAAGGGCTGTCTATAAGGTATACGGATACTACCAGGTGAATGTCCTTTACAATTTGATTTATAGCTCTCAAGTCCTGTACTAATCTATACTCACTAAAAATAATCACTCTTTCTGTGCACTTACAAATACATAATCACATTTTAATATATATCAACTTTTATTTTAAGTGTGTTAGGCTGCATAAATGAAGCCCTTTGGGAAGAAGATGAAGACAGATGAGACTGCCTGAAACTCCTGCATTCTTTTTCCTCAGGAAGCCTCACCAATGTATACAACTGCCTGATCACAGTAGCTCATCTGTCTAAACAGAATACATTAAGTCAGATCATAATGCTTTTCTGAAGACAGAAGCCAGTACTACATCTGCTGTCATTCTAGAGTATCAGCAATTGAACAGTGAAGATTCTTTTACCAGAAGTTTTGACATGCTAGAAGATATTGCCATGACCTCTGCTGAGAGAGAAATGTTCTCAACGGTTTTTAAGGCTCAGAGTAATGAAGCCTCAGTTGAAAAGCACTCTCTGCAAAGATGCCTCTCACTAACTCATGCTGACCAAGAAGACACAGAATCAATTTCAGGAGTCTCTGAACTTCTTCAGGTTACTGCAGACCCTCCAGCATGGATTTTAAAACATGATCTAGAGATACCACCTCAAGCCAAAATCACATCTATACCACTTTCTTCTTTCCCACCTAAAATGCAGCAACTAATGTCAGCCAGAGCTAAAAATGTCTCTGAAGTAAGGCAAGCTACAGAAATACCAACTGCAACTTATGTATGGCCAGTAATAAAGACGGAAGATGCCTCCAGCCCCTTTTTGGACAGTTTTCCAAAGTCTTTCATACCAGCCAGCCCAAACTTAAAAAGACACCTTTCTAGTCCTGATGTAGTAATTGAAGATGAGAAATATTCCCAAATAACCCCAGTGAAACAGCTTGCACAAGACGAGTTGGACAGAAAGACAGCAAAAGCATACACTCTTATTGTAAAGTCATCTAACAGTTTTGTTTCAGGAATTTTAAAATCACTGGCCAGTATCAAAAATAAGGATTATAAGAATATGTTACCACTTTCATCTATCAGTTCTATTGGAGAGCAACTGAAAATTCCTCTCTTTAAGGGAAATGCTCTAGTGATATACAGTGGGCAAGTCTACCTTCTGTATGTAACGAGGCATGAAGCTCTGTCACCAGAAATGGAAATACATGGCCCTGATATGTTGCTTAGGAAGACCAGAGTTTGGCTCATTATATGTACTGCTATCCATGATGTGACAGCCAAAGTTCTGCATCCACTGCTGTCAAGACAGTATGCTGTAAAACAGAACATAAACTATCTTACAGCCCTTGCCACCCCCATGCACCAAGATAAAACTTCAAACACAACACCTTTCTCTTCACACAGGATGACCACCATCTCTCAGCCCAAGCAGTGCTCCCCTTCTGCTGGGAAAAGACAACAGGTAGTAACCTATAATGATCAGTTGAATGTCTCTGTACGGACAGTAAATTACTTTCCTCTTAGATATAACTGAATGCAAAGTGCATTATTCAGCATATTTATAACAGGATAAGTGCTGTGAAAGGTGAGTGACCTGGTTTTGATTTCACTTTTGTGGAGAAGCCAAACACAACTCCAGTGGACACAATCACTGTAAGGTAAATCAAAGTAAGGCTTGCAGGGCTTTAAATCTTTACCATTTAAAAAGAAAATATAGTAAGTAAAGCTAAGAAAAAATCCATCTTGAGATATATCAGGATTTTTTTAGTATTTGAACAGGACCAAAGCACTGTACTAAATGCGAGTGGCCTGTCACTATTTAGAGAATAGTAGGGCTGAATTTACTATATTGGCAAGATATTTCCCAAGGGAGTAGATGGGGTTTCTGAAAACAGGTGATGAGTGCCACCATGATCACATTTTAAAGTAACAGTGAAAAGGAGAAGGGCTGGCTTGCAAGGTCCCTCCTGAATTACAATCTTGCAAAGACACATTCCTGAGGTAGGGGAGGCTGTAGAAACAAGCTGTGAGGATTAACTGCGGTGGGAGAGAAACAGCTATCCAACACTCTCTCCCAAACAGTCAGGTTCTACTCCTTCTTGTTTCAGTTCCTCAACAAGACTGCATTCCCATCCGAAGAAGGCTTGCAAATAAGAAATGAGAAAGAAGCACGTCAGCAAAAAGACAATGAACTAAGGAAGAAATTTGGTATTGTTGGAGATGTAAGAGTCCATCTCAACAAGATAAATCTCCCTGAACTTGCAGAGGATCCTGACAAAGCTTCTGCACTTAAATGGAAGGTAACCACCAGGACAAAGAAATGGTAAGAAGTGCCAGAGGTACTTAACTGTCCATATACAAATATACAGTAAGCCTCATCTTGAAGTGTTGATTGCATATCATTAGTATGCTTTTCAAAATTTTTGAGTGTTTAAGTCCCTGTCATAAAACATTTTTTATTTCAGAACCTTGCAATGTTTATAAGGATTTACAGTGCCAATGTTTTTTATATCAGGGCCCTTGGTAGAGTCGGAAAACTCAAACTCTGTTAATAGTCCTGTTATCAATGATATTTCTGCACATGACAGCTAAAAATTGAAGAGTGTGGTCACATAAATTGCTACAATCAAATAAGGACCTGAGTTTGATTTTTCAGCTTTTAAAGCGTTCTTTCCACAACTCCAATTTTATTTCCTTTCCTACAAAACTGCTAAACACAGCATATGGAGTAAAGGAGGATATTCTGTAAATGACAAGTTTCTCTCCAGTCAAGTTCAGAGACAGGCTGTGCCAAGGGACAGTTTAAAATGGGAGGCTCGCATGAGATACCCTGGAACCTCTCCACTCTATCAGTAGAGGCTCGCTGTGTAGCATAGTGACCCATGCCTTTCAAGAGCAGTAAAGCTTCCCTCTCCACAGCTACTTCTAAAACACCGGGATCTGTCTTTCTTTCAGTTCTGGCAAAAACTGCAGACAGAATGCCAGCTACCGCCAAAGTCTTTTCCCAGTCTGCATCCTGACTACCACTCATACAACTGCAACCAAAGGTAGAAGAAGTGCCTGCTGACCATTTACTGCTAGGAGTGGTTTGCAGTCTGTCTGCGCCAATGCACGTCTCATAGGCAGAAACAGGATGCTTTTCATACTTGTGCTAGGCTCTTTTTGGTTTGGGCATACTGCCATTCACTTTTAGTTAAGGTGCTCAGAGCACAAGCTATCTATTTTTAGTCACTGACCTACTTTTGAAAAGTTTTACCCTATGGCCTTGCTGAGAAGTATCATTTGGCAGTTTTGCCTGGCATTATCAGATAGTCTTGGAACAGATGTCTGCTTTCTCTGAGCCCTGAGATTTTCAAACTCTCGGTTGCGATTGGCCTCTTGTGTCAATTTTGTGTTTTTCTACAATAAAGCTCTTAAGATTGTTTCAGCAGCCAGACTGGACATAGGGTTTCCAACAACTTATATAATTTCAATATGCCTTTGTTCAAGTTCTTATTCTGCAGCTATATTAGTAATCAGTAATAAATCAATAACAAATCCTAGATCTATTATCTCTTGTTCAGTCTGTAGCATTAAACTTCCATTTCTGTCAAGTGAATTTTAAAGCAGCCATCATCCAACCTTTCCAAGATCTCTGACAGTGGTCTACTTTTGTTGTCCCTTAATGGGAACATCATTGGTGAACCCTCAGCATTCATGAAAATACAGTATATCTTTTTGTGAAATATTACAAGTCCTGGTAAGGCAAAACATCCTGAAGAGTATGCTGGAAGAGCACAGGTATGAACTACTTATTTTTTCCTTTCTACCAGTACACGAATGAAACTTCCACTGTCAGAAAATTAGTGTTGGCTGTCATTTTTCGTAAAATTTCTTTCCCAGTAAATATGCCAAGGCAGATTCTTAGGATAAACAAATTTTGATGGTGTTTCTCCATCTGTCCAGATTTTAATTTCTCAACATGTGTCCCAAAAATCAAATAGGATCAAATACTTAATGAAATATTTCATGTTTGGATTTATTGTACAGCTGTTTTACACAGATGCTTCCACTTGCTAGACTGCTATTGAGAACTTTCAGTTACCAACAGTTATTAGTATTTCTCATTAACCTTAATTGTTATTGTGAATGCCTTTTCAATATTTTCTGCTGCCACGTCTTTTTCTTTGCAGATTGCATTCACTTTGTTATGTTTTGTCATTTTATCCAGACTTTATGATCTTTGCAGTTAGAGTTATTCAAGTAATAAAAAGATGTTCTAGCTTCTTTAATTTGTTGTTCCTTATTTCTTTTTGTCTCTGGCTTGTGTTCCTTTCATGAAAATTAAGTTAATGGAGAAGTTATGACAGTAGTATTAACCTACAATTGTTGAGTCTTGCTGAGGGACCCTTCAAATGCAAGTGCCCCTTGCTAAAGGGAACACCTATGCAAAATGCTTTGGTTTATGTGCAAGAGACGATTTAGAAGAAGGGTAATAGCTGTTATCAGAGTAATTAGAATATCTAGGAAAATAGACAAGGATCTTATTCCAAAGTTGAATGCAAAGTAAGAACAATCAGCAAGGATATAATTAAATAGATATTACCTAGGCAATTCAATATGTAAAAAGTAGTTTTCAAAGAGCAAAGGGGTTGCTGCTGCAAGAGATGGTTATTTCCAGAGGGAAAGAGAATAACAGAGTGGAAGACTGTGGCAAGTAGAGATAGGGGAATGAGAATTACAGCAGATCACGCATGGCACATACAAATGATGACCCAGAAATTGAAATGTAACACAAAACCAATACTTACATTGTTTATTTGATTTTGGTATCCAGTATGATTATTAATTGTAGTGGGTGGTAGTATGTTTAATCAAAATCCTTAGGCTCAGTCCCACTGCCAAATACATAGGGGCTTATGGCAAATGTAGTCACGTACCTTTGTTGGGAGCTCTAACAAGCATTATGGGGGCAAGAGTCCTTCATTTTTATTCACATGATGATAAAGCTGAAAATACAGACAGAGAAAATAATTGGAAAAAAATAAATGTTTTAAGACCATGAAGTATCTTTTTTTTCTGTTAGAGGACTGAAATATTGTGCTGATTATCCTGACACCACAGTTCTGAGATAATTTGTAGCCAGAGAAATGCTAGGAGCTTGCCAGCTTGGGAAAACTAGGGTTCAAAGCCTAATGAGTAATGGGAGGGTGGGGAAAAAGTAGTATGGAAAAAAAAAAAGCGCACATACATGACAGAGGAAGGTGAATCACTGACATCTTATACACTGTGGTCAGTATTTGGCCTTTTACAGTTTTAAAGAAAATGTGTACTCTGCTAAGAACTATTCTCCTTGCTTCCAGGAGTGGCAGAGCAATGGCAGGGGGACCATCGCCAGGGTTTTATTTGCTTCCAGAAAACAAAGACCAACACTCATCCTTCAGTTCCTCTTTTCTGTCACTCATAAGCTTCTAGTTAAAGAGCCTTTTCCACCATGCTGTCTCTGCTGTTAAGCTTCTAAATAAGATGGTGTATACATCAGTGGAAGGCTTTATAAAGAAAAGATAGAATTACACGAGTAGGAGGAATAAAAGTTCAAGGAAGCTTTCTAGAGTTTTTATTCTTGAAAAGCACATAATAAAATTAAGCATTTACACTGCATAAAATCAAGATTAACTCTGTGGGTTTCTTAAATCAAAATGTCATTAAATCAAAAATTTGTAATGTGCCACAGTAATGTCTCATGTTTATGCTTTCATTTATTTGCCTCTGTGTGTGAGTCCAGTCACAAGTATCCCTAAGGCAAAAAGCATGTGAATCACTCCCAAGACCTCCACTTTTGGGGAGTTACCAATGGTTCAAAATGAGACATGAAGTAAGTTCTTCCACATAAACAGTTACCTCTGATTAGCCAGCCATCAGCTGATGATTACCACCTCTCGGTGCTAACTTGCTCACATTTTGTTGTTGCCACAACAGCTCTCTCTGCAGGCTGCCTCTCCTCTGCATCCGTATGTGCCTGGGTGTCCTTCCCACTGTGACCAAGGGCAATGGGTGGCCTTGGCTGCAGGACACGAGTTTGGATTTGAAGGACCACATTGCTCTCAGGTTTTGTCATGAACAGCATTGGATGCAAGTTGTTCAGATGTCAAGGAAGAGCTTGTTGGTTATACTGAATCTTCCCCACTCCTAACATATTTCGATTCCACTGTCCCTGATTTTAAAAGTTTTTATTGGCCCCTCAGATCCTATCCTTGTTTACGTTCTTACAAATGATCAGCCATCTTGTCCTCGCCATGTAGCGAGACTGTGTTGTCTCAACACTTCTGCTGATCCATGATGTGCTGTTCAGCTTGGAAGCATTCCTGCCATTCAAACTCAAAGCCTTTACTTAAAGCTACACATCCCTTGGGAGTCCCTGGATAAAACCCTGTCTGAGGTCTTCTGCATGGTGCAGGGAGGGTACTGGGGGCACAGCTCTCCTCTGGATTTTCCTGTGTGATCATCCTGGGACCTAGGGCACAAAAATCCAAGTGAGTGAGGATTAGTAGCATCCACACAGTTAAAAGGTACCTAACAAATATTATTGATAACAATTTACCAGTATTGTTCTCAAATTTACTTGTGCCAAGGGTTAATGGGAAAGTATACTAAAGACACCACTTCATAATTCATTTAATAGGCCCAACAGAACAGAATTGTACGATACAGTTACCGAAATTTAACTCAATTACTTTTTCAAACCAAACTAAGCACAGTACAACAGCTGACAGACAGTCTGAAGATCAGTGGTGGAAGAGAAACTCCTTTAATATCCTCATTAGCAGTGCTGGGAAGAATGAGTGAGTTATTTCCTTGAAATTTGCACTATCTAATATGAAACCACATTCTCTGTGGTGATGACATCTGAAACACAGTGTATAATAAACAAGAAGACCTTAAAGTTTGATGAGGGAGAAAACAGACCTGAAGAGATACCTGATGATGTGGTAGAATCTGCTGTCACGTAAGAAGATGCTTAAGACAGGAGAAACTAGGTGAAAATCTATTGTCTGTGTTACATGTGATGTGAGTGAAAGACCTAACCTTTGCTTCTGGCCTACACATTGTATAAATCTATGAAACTGCCACATATATTCTGTTGACTTAAAATCCTATCTAGGCTTTGACAGAGTAAACGCCATTCCAACCACAGTAGTCAGATTATTTGTTTCTGGAACTATATAACACCATCTGTTAAAATCTAGTCTGACTTTCCCTGTGATTTAGAGAGAAGGAGTGTTAGGAGATACATTAGTAATTTAAATGCAGATAATTCCCTTCTGCACTTCCCATTAATAACAACCATTATAATCAACTGTCTTTATACATCTCCTTTGTGTACTGAAACTACAGAAGTCAAGAAGCACAAGCAACCTACGTTCAGACGAGAGGATCCAAGGATCCCCATCAGAACTGAGGACAGCCAGGAAAGGGGGTGTCCTGCTAACACCAGACTTCATCTTTTTCAGAACTGCATTTCAGTTTGAATCAGATTAAGTATTTTTTTCTTCTCAGCCCTCCAGTCAGCAGGAAGCTGCTCAGACGCTGGAACAGCTCAGCCAAACTGCCTGTGTCCTAATACCAACAGCAAAGCCAGGTATCAGTGTCACTGAAGGCTGGGGCTTCCCAGTCTCCCTGACTCCCTGGCCAGTCTCCCAGGGGATGGCTGTGTGCAGACATCTGTGGAGAGGGAGATGGGGTTACCTCAGGACTCTGGGCATTCAGCAGAAGTTCACTGAGTGCAAGAAATTTTAGTCCCTAAAATGAGGAATCGATCAAATAAAATTTGTTCCATGAGAAAACTTTAAACCTAATCTCTTCATCTGGAAACTCTGTCAAAGCACCAGTTTTCACAACATGAAGGAGAAAGACAGTGGATACAAGACCACGTGTCCTGCAGTTTAAGTACCAGTAACAACAACAGGAACTGAAGTTTCAATTTACAGAAACTCCCATAACATACCCCAGCATTGGGAACCTTTTTCTGGTCTCTCTTCAAGTCTGTTGTCTAGAGAGTGGCTGAGCTTCAGCTGGCTGCGCTCCAAAACTACTGTCCCCCATACTGCCCAGAGACATCTTACTGCTTCTTTTGCACCCTTACAAACACAAGTGTCTTCTCTGCTGCTCAGGTTAGAGACTAGGGCAAGGTGCTCCTTTTGTACAGTGTGTGTATAGCACCCAGCACAAGAGGGCTCTCTAGCACTCAGCTGCCGCAAACAAGAAGAAAACACAAATAATACCACCCCCCCCGCCCAGTAAAACCATTATCAAAATATATAATTCTCTAACAGGTGGTCATTCTGCTATATTATTTTTGGAGATGTAAAGGATTTTTTGTTTAATTAGCAGTCCAGCTGCTCTGTGGTAGGAATATTACCCTTTAGCATGAGAATGAGGTTGGGCAGGTTGCTGACTTCTCCTAACACAGAAATGATGCCAAGGAAAATGGAAGGTATTTGTTATCTTGATAGAGGTGCTCAGAAATATTGCAAGATGATACGATGATACTTTTAGTGCTTTTGGACTTTCCAGTGTGGTTTGGAAAGGGACAACCACCCTGCTGGGCAATTATCCTAAATAAACCATGCCTGAACCTTAGGCTGCAGCACATTCATCCTCGATTGTTTCAACTTGCATCTGACATGCTGTATTGTGCAAAAATTGTTTTGTCTCATAAAGACCTTCATATAATCCTCTGCTAGGCAGACCTTTTACAGCCCTACTTTCTACTGTCAGCTGGTAGAAAAAAATTATTACTCATTGCATGTTTGGAGCGCAAATCAGTCTGGAGCACATTCGCATTTTGTTCCTATCTTTCCAGAGGTGCAATGACCACAAGGAATAAACTCCCAGAGTCTAAAAGGTCTTCTGCCTATCAGGCAAACAAATGTCCCCTGTAGGTCTGGCAGGGCAAGACTTTCTGCACAGAGCCAGAGGCTGACTGGAGTTTTTGGAGTTTTCAATATGGTCTCTCACAACGTGGTTATAGTGAGAAAACAGATTATATGAAAAACCACACCTACTCCCTCTGCAGATGCGTTCCTTTTGTGTCCGAGCCAGTGCTGCTAATGTTATGGAAACCCCCAACCCTCTTTTTGTTTTAAATAACCTTGAAAGGTGAATTAAATAGTGCACAAAAATCTTTTAACTTGGGCACTCAAATTTAAAAACAGAGGTGATACCTTGTGCCTAAATCAACAGTCCTATCTGGAAGCTGCAGAATAGCAGGGCATGCTATGAAAAGGCAGGCCACTTCTTGTTGCTTAATTTGATGACCCAAGATAGAAAATATTTATTTGAATCTGTTATACCTAAAAATAAAATCAGTGTTTTGTTTCCACACTGCAGGAGCATTTATAAAGATGAGTGGTATGTCAGACTGGGTGGACAAGGGACGATTGTCATTTCCTTCAGTACCAGAATGGAGGTTCACTGGATGAAACTACTAACAGCCAGAAGGTTCAGAATTAACAAACAGAGGTTGTTCATCACACCACATGTAGCTAAGTTGTAGGAATCATTGAGAGGATGTTGTTGCAGATACTTAGGTTTACACCAGCTTGAATTCAAAGGCTACTGGACAGATTCATGGAATAAAATACATCTGAGGGTATTAAATACTATCCCCAGCTCAGGAAATTACTGCACTTGAAATGGCAGAGGATGGGCAAGTATCATTTCATGTTCTCATATTATTCCTTAGACATTGTAGTAATTATAGGAAATAAAAGGTTGGGTCAGACAAAAGGTCCAGTTAGCCCCATAATCTGTTCTCAACTTTGGTCAGCAGTGGATGCATAGTTTAAATACAGAGCATTTATAGTACCTACATATGGCCATTTCTACTGGCCACAACTAGAAACAGAATAGGGGAGCTGGACTGAGACTCAGACCTTGCTGCGTGAAGGCAACTGCTGCCACTGGCAACACACCTGAGGGAGAGAGACATGAACCTGCCATCTTCACTGAATTGCCTGTAGGCCAGCCAGGAGCATCACTGACATGTGCGACTCACACAGATCTCCTATGAGGGTGGAAGATCCTCTGACCACCAGGGATGTAAATGAAACATTGGGTTGAAACACAAAAAGCAGTGCACTGTAAACTTTTAACCTGATGAACTTTGCTCTTGCATCTTTACTAGGTGTCTGAACAGATTTCAGTCTCCCTGAATTTACTCATTATTCAAAGCAATCTGACAAAAATTACCCAGTCCATAATGTAAAAGCATGTGCAGAAGTCACTGTGCAATTCTGGTTTCTAATGTAGAAATAGCCTTCTCAAAATCAGTCTTCTATGGAGAATATTCATAGGATATCCCCAATTCTAAGCACAGTTTGTAATAGTATCTACTTATTTCTGGATTTCAAGATATTAAGCATATTCCAAATGAGGACAAAGTAACACTGTGCTAATCACTGCACAAAGTAAAAATGAGGAATTTGGCACCCCTCTCCTGTAGATAGGTTGAAAATCCCACCAGAAGAGAAAGAGGCTCCAAAGGCACCCAGGAAGGCTGTGGCACAGCTAAGAAATTAATCCAGAGTCTCAGAGTTGAGCCTTCGCACAAGGCAAACCCTTCTTGGAGTAATTCTCCATTGGTAGAAAAAATATGATTTTACAATGATCACTGCATAGTGCCAAAGCACTACAGCCAGATCACAGATGATGGGCTGGGACTGGCCCAGGTGAGTTACCTGTACTTTCAGTTATGGGAAACTAAAAAAAAAGGCAGAGCCACACAAAAGTGTCAAGATGCCCAGCTCTATGGGGTTTAGTGGTAACAGTATTTTCACCAGGAGTTACCAAACTGCATTGCATTGAATTGGAGTTTGTGCTGGCATGAGAAAGGAGAGAAAGTTTCACGTTATCTGTATCCTGATGAGTGGGACTTAACTATTGCATAGGATACTGAGGCTCTGAAAAAGAGACACTGAAAGTAATAATGGATGAAAACCATCTGCTTTTCCTCCTCTGGGCAGAGGCTTGTCCCAGCACCTTCTACATCCCAGGCCAAGTGTCCTACCACCACACCGATGATCTACCTCACTCTGACCCACTCTGAAGTTTTGATTTCCTCAACACATGTCTGTTTTCATTAAAACTTTCAACACATTTTGATTCAGCTCCTGTTCAGGAAAAAAAATCCCAAACGTTGTTCTGCTTAATCAAGATCTCTTCTGTGAAGAAATTTAAGGCTTCATGGAAGAAGAGGATCCAGTCTGGGCAGCTGGCTCCCTAGCTCTTCTTCTGTGAGTCCAGCTCAAGTAGTTTTTGATTAGTGACTCTCTCACCCCACTTCCTTTACTTTGTGACATTAACATGTTGCTAGACACTAACTCATTACTCTGGAGACATATGTTAGAGAGGCAAAATATCTAGTCATCTTTAGGCTGTTTGCCACCATCCATCACCAAGCCCATTTCAGAGACAACTGCAGAAAGTTGGATCAGAAAGTAGATCTCAAACCAC